ATGAGGAGGGGAGTGAATCGGAGGTGGAGCATGGGGGAGCCAGGCGCTAGCCCCGCCCGCCCCCACCACCACAGTGGGCGCGATGCACCCCTGTCCACACACCTGAGCCTCCAAGCTCACCGGTACCCAAGTGAAGGCTTTTGGGCCTGGGCAGCACCCCAAGAGTCGGCATGCTGGCAGAAGAAGGGGACGCAGGTAAGCTGCAGGTCTGCAAGTGAGTCCCAAAGCAGGGCCAGCACCAGACTGGACAGGCTGACCACACCCACTGCCCTTGTTCCTAGTCTCCCTGTGAGAAGGAGCCCCGCTGAAGTCTCCTCTCTCTACATCCTTCTTGGTCTCCGGAAACCTGGGTATCAGACTGCAACCCGCCTCCCCCAGATGCCTCTGGGGACTTTGAGCTGGGGCCCCGCCGCTAGGGTAGGTGGTGGCAGCCAGGCTCCCTGGGGGCTCTGCTCTCTTCCGGCCTTGAAGACTCATTTTATTCCAGTGCCCAGGCCCCCTCTGCCCTGACCCTGTTGTCCCTGGGCCCCTAGACTCCAGGCCTAGGACTAGCTAGCGGGACAGGGATGGACCCCCACGGAATATTTGACCATCTGTCTAGCCTCCCTGCACCCTGCTGAGGCACCCCTCCCCAACACGCACACCTCATCAACTGCCTCCCTGGCCTAGCTGCAGATTACTTTTTCTGAGCCCCAGCCATTGCGGATCTATCTGGTAGCTGTTATATCACACCTCCCACCCCGCACCCCCAGTCCCTTTCTGAATGCCCTAATTTGGCCCTGAGCCACAATCCACCCCAGTGCAGGGTACCCCTAAATTCCTCGGGTCTTACATGGTTGCCAATGGTTTCTTTAAAAAGAACTCAGGCGAGGATTGTGTCACAGAGAGTTTAATACTGAGGAGGCCACCCAGCCGGGAGCCCCACCCACCCCCATCCCACCCCTGCACAGCATGTTTAAACAGAGCACAGGAAGCTGGCTGGAAGAAGTGTCCTTCCTGTTCCCAGTTGGACTGTGCCACCACCCCGATACCACACCAGTCCCTGCCCACAGCCCCTCTGGAGACTCTTCAGACCCTTCCCCCAGGAAGCCCTGGGACTACTATCCCTGCCCACGGTGGGAGCAATCAGTTTCTGTCCAGCCTGGGGTCCAGGAAAACCCTTGTGGAGAGGGTCTACCTCTTTGGGGGTCACCTTACCCTGGCCCAGTGAGTTAGGAAGGCACCCAGAAGGGTCCAGAAGGACTGGGTGGAGGGACAAAAGGGTCTGGGGGACAGACCACTAGGTGGACTTGGAGGTCGAGGTGGATGCCCTTGCCTTAGCCTGGACGTAGTGCCCCCCCCACCCCCATCTGTCCTGCCCCAGCACAACCCACAGTCCTTTTCGGACCCTGCAGAACCCCTGAGTAGGACCCATCAGACACTCCCCTCAACCCTCCTGCCATACAGAGCATTCTACACAGCTGAGGTGACCACACTGGAGGAGGGCAGCATTGCAGGGGACCCAGTTCTCTTCCTCAGCAGCTCCACCCCTGGGGTGGCTAAGGACTGCACCATCAGGGAGGCACCCCACCCCACCCACTGACCAGCTGGCTGCCGCCCCACCGCATCTGTGTGGGGGGGTAGGAGGGAGACAGCCTCACTGGACAGACAAGCTGTAACCCGCCCCCCCTGCCTCAAAATACTTTCATGAAATAGTTTTTAAAAAAACAAAAAGCTTTCAGCCAGTTTGCCTTGCCTGCTCCACTGTTACTGCAATCACTTCCCAGGACCCCAAGCCCCATCCTTGGCCCCCATCATAAGCACTCTTAATCCCTGGGATCCAGGGGCCCCACCTCCAGCCTCTCAGGCAGGCTTTATCAGGGTGTGGGTGGCGTGGACCTCTGGGCTCCCCTGGACCTTGATGCTCAGATGAGGAGTCAGAGGGTCCAGGTGGCATGGGGGCAAGGACCTGGCGGCCACCACGTACAGTGTGTGAGCCCCCGCAGCTCCCCATGCCAGGGGTCCCTTGGAGGCAAACCCAGGGGTCGGTGCTGTAGGCCAGTGACTATGAGGGACCTGTAGGGGTACCATGGGGGAAGAGGGGGGCATAGCCCTGGGACAGGATGGTGTGGGTGATACAGGTGGCCTGGCCCAGGCTCTCCGAGGCAGAGGCAGGCCTCACGCCGCCTCTTGGAGGCCATCCCTACACAGTGCAGCTCTCTCGCAGAGAGGCGTCCAGGGAGAGCCTGGGAGAGGGAGCATGGTAGGAGCGGGCAGCTATCCCACATCTGCCCCTCCCCAGCCCCAAGCATGGTGGAATCGGTCAGCGGAGTGCAGGAGAGGGGTCTCTGGTGGTGGTGTTTGGGGGGGTGGGGGGCGGGAAATAGGGTCCAGATTAGTGAGCATTCACAAAGCCCTCTGTAGCCCAGATGCCCTTCTGGTGGCCCCCTTAGGTGGGGCTCAGCGAATAGTCCGCACCCCTTGTCCTCTGGGCCCCCGCCCAGGACCAGACCGGGTTCCAAAGAAATGCTTCATTTACTGCTGGGACAGTGAGGGCACAGGGCTGCAGGGTGGGGGCTTGGAGGAAGCCGCGGCGGCCCCTCAGGGTGGGCATAGCAAGCCCTGCAGGTCTTTGGGCAGGGAGCCGATGATCATCTGCATGTAGAGCTGCGCTCGCTGCAGGGTCTCCTCCTTGACTGGGAGCCGGTGGACCTGGGCGCGGACCTGCAGGGCAGGCAGGAGGGCAGGTGGTGAGGGCACTGGGCGGACCCACTGGTGGCGGCTGCGGGTGGGGGTCTCACCAGCTTCTCGCGGAGCTTCAGGACCAGGTCCACAAGTTCCACCTCTGAACGGTCCTTCCTCCAGGCTTGGATGTCCTGCGGGCAGAGCCAGGGGTGGCATTGCCAAGGCCGTCTCCTGCCTGCCCCCAGCCGGTGCCCAGCCTGTGCCCAGCCGGCACCGCCCTCACCGCCTCACAGATCGCCTCCAGGTGCAGCGCCTCCAGCTTCAGGGCCATCTCCTTGTGCCGCTGTCGGTACCAGCCGTCAAAATGCGGGGACTTGAAAAATCGCCTGCGGTGGTGATAGGTGGACTGACCTCCCTGTGCTAGAGGGGTGGGCACAAGCCCCCACCCCGCCCCAGCCGCCACCCACCTGTAGAGACCCAGCCAGTCTCCCTGGAGAAGGCAGGTGAGCTGGGGCCCCCCACGCTCCAGGCTGCGCAGAAAGTCGTCCTGGCGGAAGGGACGGATCTGGGGGGGTGTCTGAGAAAGAGGTCTGGGTGAGCACTGGCTGCCCCGCTCCGGATCTGCCTCTCACCTCTGCTACCAGGCACATTCCCCCAGCCCCACCTCCACCCCCCAATGCCTGGGCAGATATCTCCCATCCCTCATTTCTGCCCTCTCTGTGGCTGCTGCTGGGCTGCTCCCTCCTGGGCCAGCCACCCACCTTCCAGGGCGTGATGCTCCTCTGCAGAGGCATGAGGCTGGTCATGTAGTGCTCCTGGGGAACAGGGATGGGGGCACAGCTCCAGCTGACAGCCTCACCCCTCCCAGTCGCCCGGCCCCACCAGCCCACCCTCACCTCGCCCCTCCCTCTCACAACGCCCACTCGAGGCTGCCCATGCATGGGCCACCCTGGCCCTCATGGAGCCTCACCAGTGGGAAGATGAAGCTCTGGGTCAGCTCCAGCAGGTGCCGCCGCAGCAGGGTGCTCTGCACGTCCAAAGGCCGCTGCTTCTGCATGCCCTGCAGGGGCCCTGCGGTACTGAGCTCTGCACCCTGGCTCACAGCCACCCCAGTTCACACATACACCCACCCACCTCAGCCCTGCACATCTCAGGTCACACCCACCCCCGATGGCCCTGTGCACCCCAGTTCACACCCAGGATCCCTGTGCAGCACGGGTTGACGCTTTGGGCCCCAAGCACAGCACACTTGGTTGGGCCTGATGCCCCAGCTCACAGGTGACCTGTGTTGTTTGTCCCCACGTACCTTGAGCAGCCTCTTGAGCAGCACCTTGTCTCGGTGCAGGTGGGCCCTGTAGGCTGTGTAGAGACCTGTAGAGGGAGACGCTGTCTGAGCTGTGCGTGCAGCCTGCGCACACACCCAGCCACGGGCTCAGCCTACAAACATCACCCCACATCAAGGAAGCAAGAGACTGTGGACTAGGCCCAAGGCTGGAGGGAGGGCCATGGGGAGGTGCCCTCTCTGGGTGCCACAGGGATGGGCATGCACGGACCTGGCTTGGTGTCCAGGGTCTTCAGGCGAGATGGCTTTTTCAGCTTGACTTGCTTGGGAAGGTCCCCTGCAAAAGCCACCAGAGGGGGGCTAGTGCCAGGCCCAGGCAGTCCCGCCAACCCCAGGCCCAGCAGCTTCACCTGATGCTTTGGGTTCCCCAACTCGGAGGATGTGAGGCCAGTGCTGGAGCGTTTTGATAAAGAAAGGGTTTGTGACTCCCAGGACCACACTGGGTCTAGAGAGAGAGAGAGAGAGAGAAGGGGCAGCAGCAGAGACAGAGGCCCACTGGCGCAGGAGAGGTGGCGGGGCACTTACGGGGCCTGCCTGCGTGTGGTGAACTCCTTGAACTCACTGTCGTGGATGGTGAAGTAGGGGCGGTAATCACAGCAGAACTTGAGGGGCGTCAGGCAGCTGCAGCCGTGGGAACAACCGGAAGGGGCGAGGTGGGGCACACACTGGCTCAGTCAACCCCTCTAGGTCCTCCCCAAGGATACCCAGGGCCTCAGGACCCTGAACCCTTGTGGTCCCAAAGAAGGGAAGAGGGCCCACTGCACCCCTAGGCCTGTACCCACTTCCGAACGACCTTGTACAGGAGATGAGGCAGCTACCTGGTCAGGGCCAGCACCATCTCTGAAGACAAGGCCGGTGAGGGCGCCAGGATCACCAAGGGTTCCCCAAGTAGCATGAGCTCCCACAGAGTCTGCATGAGGGTCAGCAAGGGCTGCAGACACCTGGGGGAGCAGGGTGGTCGGTTGGGCTGCCTACACTGGCAGGGGTCACAGTGGGCGTGTGCAGCAGGAGCAGGGTAGGCAGGGGCTGAAGTTGGAGTGGGGGGTCCGGTGGGGTGTGAGGTGGAGTTGTATCCTGGGGAGGCTCACCTGAACAGGTCTAGCTCATGGATGCTGGCGAGGATCACAGGGGCAGGCAGCAGGTTCTGGGGGGCAGCATTCAAACTCAGATGAGACGAACCCTCAGATGGAAACCCTGCTCCTGCCTTTGCCTCCCGCCAACCATGCATGCAGTGCCGTGAGCCATGGGGCCCCACAGGGGACAGAAGGCCCACTTGAGGCTCCGGTGCAGCGGGCCCTGGACCACAGCCCACCCCACTCTGCCCTACCTCGTGGCTGCATTGCCTCGGGGGGCTGGCCTCAGGCTGGTCCACTCGGATGGGGATGCGCACCTGTGGGAGGGGACAGTGTTAGTGGGTAGGCCTACACAATCAAGCAGCCACCTGCCTATGTCTCCTCCCCTTGCCCCCTACCTCACCTGGAGGATAACGCCCATGATAGGCAGGTTTAGCGTGCGCCCTGGCCAGGGGGCCGGCCACTGGTCGATTTCATTGCACACTATGGACACAGGCAGCTGTCAGGGGGGCACAGGCCCAGTCAGGAGGCCAGAGGACCGGGAAGCCCCACTCACCGGCCTCCAGGCAGGGTGCCAGCTTATCGAAGAACTCGGGGGCCACCAACCTCAGCAGCGCCTGGAACAGTCTGACGAAAGGCAGGCGGGACACCAGCACCAGGGACTGCCCGGGCCAGAAAGGTCAGAGAGTTCTGGCCAGAGCTGGCCAGGAGCCATGCAGCCTCTCAGGGAGCCAGGGCCTAGCCGGGGGTGGAGCAGGGTCCTGGGCAGCCTCAGAGACAGGGACCCATGGCCCCCAACAGGGCTGAAGAGACACAGCTCCCAATGAAGCTGCGAGACCGTATCAGTGGCTGCCATCTAAAAGAGTCTCCTGGGCAGGCAGGGGCCAAACTTCAGACTCAGGCTGCCCTAAACTACAGGGGCCCTGAGTCCCCTCCAGCCAGCAGCCAAAGCAGGGACGTGGTGGTGGCAGGCCTGTCCTTAGGTGTAGTGGGTGACTTTCTGACCTGCTGTGAGGTGGGGTAGCCCAAGGGTCCTCCCACAGCCCTACCCAGAGGGGCTGGGGCTCACCTTCTGAAAGTAGCCCCTCTGTATGGAGCTGTCCTTCACCTGGCGGAAGTACACGTAGCCAAAGTAGTGCGCCGACTCCCGCTGGAGGAGCGCAGGGTCACTGGGCGGCCGCTGGTGGCTCCAGCCCCCCAGGCCCCTTCTGCTCCAGGCCTGCCTGCGCCGAGGTCCCCCTGTGGCCAGGGCGCAGCCAAGGTGGACGTCCCTTCTCCAACAGCAGCTGTGCAGCTGCCCAGGTCACAGAGGGACAGGGCCCAGGCCTACCAGAAGCATGCAGTGGTGGCCAGGTTCACCACGTGTCCTCTGGCTAGGCTATAGATGCAGGTGCAAAGGCCCCAAGGACCTCTGGGGTTCCCTCAAACGGAGGCTGAGCCCCAAGAACGGTGGGGCTTGCTGTGCACCCTTGAAGGAGCCGCCGGCAGCGGACAGACACCAGCAGACACTAGCAGACTCCTGTGGGCGTGGCGGGCTGACCAGAGACGCCCAGGCACTCACCTGTAGCCACACGGGTGCCCTGCTGTTGTAGGGGCTGTCCTCCGCATGCCACGGGCTCTGTGGGGCTCCCGACTGGCGGATGCGGAAGCTGAACTGAGTGTCCCCAAGGCAGCCTGGAGGGAGCCACAGGGGCAGGAGTCAGGGCCAGATCTGCAGGAGCCAGGCTGGGGGCCCAGGCATCTGGACCACACCCTCTGAGGGGCTTAAGATGGGCGCTGACCAGAGTCCGCAGGGGGCTGCAGAAGCCTCCCTCCCTGGAGCAAGCCTGGAGGCAGTGCCCTCCCAGGGATCAGGGTGTCTAGCTCTGCTGCCCTGGGGTGGGATGTGGGGGGGAGGGGACAGCACTGCCTGTGCGGCAGGGTCTACCTGAGTGGGAGTCTGGGAAGGACAGGTAGCAGATGCTGCTTTTCTAGAACAGAGAGGAAAGGTCACGAGTGTCCAGCCGCTCCTGGCGGTGTCCTGGGGGCCAAGACTCACCTCCTTGTCTGTGAGCCGGAAGTCACTCGGGTACACCAGCTATAGGGGAGCACAGGGATGCAGAGGGGTGGGTGACTGCTGCTGCCTTGTCCAGCACATGTCTCCATGGCCCCGCACCAGCTGGACAAGGCCTGGCTCTCCACTTCACTGGGCAGTGGGGGTGTCTCCTCCTAGATGAAGACCACCCTCCTTCCCATCTCAGTTGTACCCTGGCCCCACCCCCAGCTCTGACTCATTCCACCGTCTGGAATCTGAGCCCTTCCCTTCAGCTGCCCACAGCCCCAGAGGAGTGAGGTGGCCCCTTGTGCTCAGTGGCCACAGGCCTCAACTGACCAGCCACTTGCCCTGTGACAGCCACCAGTCAGGAGCCCATAGCCCTGGGCTAGGGCTAAGGAAGTCCTCAGAAAGCCAGATAGGGCCTGAGGGTCTGTGTCCTAGCTGCTGTGGCAGCACAGGGGCAGGCAGGGTGCTCTCTGGAGGTGTTGCCCCTAGCTTGTAGACATACACGGAGAGGAGGGGGAGTAGGAGCTTGACAGGGAAAGGAGGAAGGGAACCTCGGAAGTAGATGGAGAGAAAGGGAGGGAGGGGAGGAGGGAGGGCTCTGAGGGGAGGAAGGGGCGAATCTGAAAGGAGCCTAAGGGGAGGAGGGAGCCTGAGGGGTGCGTTGTCCTCCCTGGAGTCACAGTGAACCTTCTTAGAAGAGAAGGAAACACCACGATCCTCAGCCATCTACACCGTTCTCTGAGCCCCCTGCTGCAGCCCCTGTGCCAGTCTATCTTGACAAGGGCCCGCCTCTTTTTCACTGCCCCTCCACTGTACCAGGGGCTGTGGTGGGGTAATTGTTCAGGGTTGGTTGGGCTGTGGTCTGAAAGCTCCGCAGTCTGAAACCACCCGCCAGTCAGTGGGAGAAAGACTGGGCTTTCTGCTCCCATAACAAGTTATAGTCTTGGAAATTCATGGGGGCAGTTCTACCCTGTCCTGTAAGATCACTATGAGTTGGCATCAACTCAATGCCCGTTATTTGGTTTGGTCTACTTTAGCAAGCATGATGTTCTTCCTGAGAGACTGGTCTCATGTCAGAAGTCTCGCCATCCTTTTATTTTATTAATTTTTTTTTTTTGGTCATCCTCACTTCTAAGGAGCCCCTGGTACTTCCAAGACAGGGTTGTGTCTTATATTTGGCAGTCAATGTTTCTTCGCTAACATAATCATTCAAATACATTGATTCTTCTTTGGTTTCATTCAATGCCCAATGTTCATCTACATATGAGGAGACTGAAAAGACTAGGGCTCGGGTCAGATGCACCTTGATCCTCAAAGTGCTATCTTATTCTTTAGCACTTTAAAGAGGTCTCGTGCAGCAGATTTACCCAAATGCAATACGTTGATTGATCTCGACTGCTGCTTCCTTGAGCAGTGACTATGAGTCAATGAAGCAAGACGAAATTCTTGACAACTTCAATCTTTTCTCCCTTTATCATGTCGTTACCTACGATCAAATTGTATTTTTATTTTCATTACACTGAGCTTTAATCCATACCGAAGGCTGCAATTTTTGTTGTTCATCAGCAAATGCTTCAAGTCCTCCTCACTTTCAGCCAACAAGATTGTGCATCTGCATACCTCAGCTTAATACGCCTTCCTCTTATCCCAATGCCTCACTTTTCATATTGTCCAGCTTCTCTGATTAATATCTCAGCACAGAGATTAAGTATGCTGAAAGGATACAAGCCTGACGCACGTCTTTCCTGAGTTTAACCCATGCAGCATTTCCTCGTTCTATTCACACAACTGCCTCTAGATCCATGTGCAAGTTCCTCTTGAGCACACCGACATGTTCTGGAATCCCCATTCTTCTCAAGGTGATACATAGTTTATTACGGTCCACATAGTCGGATGCCTTGGCATAGTCAATAAGACACAAGTAAACATCTTTCTGGTATTCCTGCTGTCAGCCAAGGACCCATCTGACATCAGTCGTGGTATTCCTTGTTACACATCTTCTGAATCCAGCCTGAACCTGCTCCCTGTCAATGTACTGCTGCAACCTTTGCTGGATGGTCTTCAGCAAAATGTTACTTGCATTGCTATCACTGATATGGTTCTATAATGTGCACATTCTGTTGAGTCCCCTTTCTTTGGAAGAGATACAAATCTAGATCTCTTCCAGTCAGTTGGCCATGTAGCTGTCTTTCCTATCTCCTGTAAGATGCACGAGTGCTTCCAGTGTTTCATCAGCTTGTTGAAACATTTCAGTTGGTATTGTCAATTCCTGGAATCATGTTCTTGGCTAATGTCTTCAGTGCAGCCTGGGCTTTCTCCTTCAGTACCATTGCTCATATGCTCGCTCTTAAAGTGGCTGGATATGAACGAGTGATTTTTGATTCAGTGACTGTGTTCTCTCCACCTTCTTTTGATGCATCCTGCGTCATTTAATATTTTGTCATAGAATTTTTAAATACTGTAAATCAAGGCTTGGATTCTCTTTTGTCCTTCTGCTCTTCACTTTAAAATGTACTGAGCATGCTCTTCCTTTCTAGTTTTCTACCTCTTAAGTCTTTGCACATTTCATTATTTTACTTTGTCTCTCAAGCTGCCCTTGGAAACTTTCTGTTCAGCTCTTTGACTTCATCATTTCTCCCATCTGACTTAGTTACTCTACAATTAAGAGCAAGTTTCAGAGTCTAACGTACACTGATCTTTTCCTTCTTTACTGTATTTTTAATGACCTATTGCTTTTTTCATGAATGACATTCTTGGTATCATCCCCCAGCTCATCAGTTAGGCTTCAGTGCATCAAATCTGTCTTGAAATTCAGGTGATGTACTTACTTTGGCTCTCCTGGAATTAATTTAATTCAGCTTCAACCTGAACTTACTTATGAGCAATTGTTGGCTGTTCCACAGTCAGACTCTGGCTGGGCTTTAGCTGCTGCTAATGAGCTTCTCCACAGTCTCTTGCCACAATGTGGTCATTTGTGTACTCCATCAGAAGTCCACATGTACGACTGCCATTGGTGTCAACAAATATAGCTGCAATGAAGAAACCATTGCTCCCGCTGAAGACAAAGCGGGTGAACAAGCAAATGTGGTGAAGAAAGCTGATGGTGCCCGGCTATCAAAAGATATAGCGTCTGGGGTCTTAAAAGCTTGAAGGTAAACAAGCGGCCATCTAGCTCA